TTTAAACAAGTCAACACATATTTATCACAAATAACTAACTTAACTAATTTTTTTAATATTTTTAAATTAATTATCTAGTTCTTATATTATGGACTGGAAATAATAATATGCCAATTAAAGTCACGATGATGCTCTTAGTGAAATCCATCCACATGCTATTTCTGACATCAACCGCTGAACTAACCATTTTTGAAGTCAAGGAATTAAATCCTCTTACTCGGCGACTCAGACTTAATTAATGGCCATTGGAGATGCAAACCGAAAACTTCTTAGTCACTGATATTGCAAGCCAAAAAAAAAAAAAAAGATGTATTGATCGATTTTTCTTACCCACTGGAATTGCAGAGTTGAGAATTATTTTACAAGTACGCAAAATGATCCTATGAGTTGACAATTTCCTCATTGAGCTGCTAACTTAATTATATGTCTTCTTCGCCGAAAAACATTCCCACAATCAACTGATGATCCTACTTATCAAGACAAAAAAAAAGGGAATTTGATAATATACCATTACAAGCTCGGGGAGAGAGAATAAATTTGGCTGGGAATCCGCAGAAGTTCCACCTCTCTCTCTCCATTAATAAAATTTGACAGCATGTTATATTTATAACACCACCCGGTGGAGAAGACAGCATAGAGCACCATAGATAATGGTTGATTGGGATATTTTCTTCGGAACCTACTATACAACCGATTATTATTCAAGCAAACAAAATTATATTGTACTCCCCCGCTCCTTAATGTATTATCTAATTAACTAATTTGAATAAATTAAAGATGTTAATTAAATTAGTTAATATGATATGTTCTTTTCAAAACACCCTAAACATCTCCCTTAATTTCCTCCCCCCTCTCCTACTTGATTATTATTGAAAAAATATCAATAGGATTAATTTGAGAAAAAATTGATAAACATGTGAAATAAGTCTTATGTATAAAACCAGCATTAACACTCCAATTAGATCCTATATTAAGGATTGCAGGAATACTATATATATCACTACAAAAATTGACTTTCAACAACAAAAAGTCATTGCTAAAAATAAAAGTTGTTGCTGAAAATGCTATAGCGACCGTGACTAAAAAGTCTCGGCATTTAATGATGACTTTTGTAGACTTTCAGCGGTGACATTTTTTGTTGCCGCTAAAAGAGATACAGTAGAAAAATGGCTTCGCCAGCGCCACGTCATCACCAGGCAGCCGCATGTCAATGTCACGTCACCACCTCACCACCACATCATGATCCAAATATTTTCAACTTAAATATGTCCTCTTCAATATTCGAACTCGTGACCACCTCCTTCGATGTCCAATCTTCTTGTCATTGAGTTGGACTGAATTTGTTGATTATTATTGTAAAATAAAAAATATATATTATCATATTATACTTTCAGTGGCAACTTTAGAGAAAGTTTGATCTTCAGTAGCGACTTTCTAAAGTCGCCGCTAAAAGTCTAAAGCTAAATGAATGCCTTAAAGACTTTTAATGACAATACTAATAGTCACTACTAAAAGTAAGTCTTTCAACAGCAAATCTAGGATGTCGCCACTGAATGTATGCCCTTTAAAGGCATTCAGTGGCAACTTTTTGTATCGCTACCCAAAGTTGTTGCTAGAAGTCTTTTTTTTTTTTCTATAGTGTACATAGGGAAAATTAAATTATATTGTAATCTCAAGAAAGGAACATAATTATTGTAAAGTCTCATAACTAGTCAATGAGAAGTTCTAGTATAGAGAAAATAACAACAAATTTCAAATTGCTCACTTATTATTGGGAGTTTTTAGTCGTTATATTTTTTTATTTGGAAGCTGATAGTGATTTCCCAACACACACACATATCATCTTTTTCAGCCTCACATATGCACATCAATAAACTTCAATATCATCGACATCAAACATGATCGTATTTATAACTCATGAATCACATGTTTTGATGATGGTCGGATTGTAGGCCTGACACAAAGGCTCAAATGTACACAGCTTGTGGGATTTCGGACTTGAAGGTGTGTTACTATGTTTGAAGCTTGTGCCAGGCTCTCATTCCATTTTTTTTTAGTTGCCCACTCAGTTCACTAGAGCTTTACTCCAACTACATCTGGATCCGACCCACGTCATACACCTGGCTGTGGTGGGTGAGTTTCCCAACAGGGATTTCTGCATACGCTGAGGCTCGAACTCGAGACCTCGCTTAAACGGTGTCAAACTGCTTACCACTTGGACCAACCCTTTTTGGTGGCTCTCATTCCCTTTGCTTAACTATTTACGTGTTTTTTCTAAGTCTCAAGATATGTTTTGGTCATAGTGAGTCTCCCAATCCAGCTCACCTAAAGTGTGCATGACAAGCCAGCAGAGTTCATTAGGCCCACTATCTGCGTTAGACAAACTACCTTGTCTGAGAAATGGCCCATTCGGCCCTACTTTGAATTGGCTTCATCATAATCCTCACTTGTGATCTTTCTACAAGAAAGAATTATATAAATTAAAAAAATTAGTTAAACACAATAACTTGTAAATATATATTTTACTTTTTAAAAATACTCTTATAGAAAGAGGGAGTAAGTAAGAGAGAGAATGAACAGAAAAAAAGGATGATAATTATTGCAATGATATATATTCTATATGGAAGGATATATAAATATATAATATATACACATACATAAAGTGAAAAAATTACATAGATGAAAATTTTTTGGATAAAATTGATTAAAGACAACAAATATTAAGAAATATATGGTTTTATTTTCAAATATACCCAATCATATTTGGAAAAATGATAATAAAAAAACTTGTTAAATTTCAAAAAGACAAAGGTCGCATTGGCCACTTTTATAATGGCTTTTATATGTCAAAATATATCAAAATTACTTATTTGTCATTTAAAATTTAGGGTTTTTTTGGTTATTTTTTCATGATAGTTTTCTGTTAAAATATCAATCGTTATTATTTCGTTTGTCTGCATTATATGCAATTCTTGGCCACAAATGTCAAGATAAGGGGAGCATCTGCGTATGCGCGGCACATGTATCCTTGTTGGCCACAAATGTCACAATTCTTGTTGAAGTGAAGTTTTGTAAACTTCTATGAGATGATCGTTATCTTTGTTAGCCAGGTCGTCGGTTTTATATAATCATTACCACCTCCGGTTCTAATTATAAGGCCTTTCTTACAGACTATAAATGATGTCTTATAAGTAGGACATGAAGTAATACCATATATTATTATTTACGGTTTGTGAATATCCCCACAATTTTTCATTTTTGATGTATATTAACAATTTTTTTTCCCAGAAAGTATATTAACATTGATGATACTTTTTTTTTTTTACGCAAAAAGTGACTCATTTTGAATTAAACTTCACCAGCTTTAATTAATTTAGCCGATTTAAAAGTTGTATTCTTTAACATTAAAGATAATTTTCTGCTAAAATCTCCATCTTTAATTTGCTCACCTAGGCCCAAATCAATCTCCACCCTTAATGGATCCATATCCATTAAAACTTGATTCTTTTTGTTCCTCCTCGTACAAACCACAAACTCATTTTAGTCCTACTCTATTATTGGCTGCAATATTATCAAAATAAAGTGGGCCCTATATGTGGCCTGTAATTATTCAAAGAAGCAAAATTGTAAATTGCGTGTGTGTGTTCTTACCGAACCAGCCAATTATTCTGAGTTGGTGGGAGGAATGATATTTGTGGAGTTGTTGATGTTGAGCAAGAAAAGCTTCTCAAAATTTGGATCCACGTTAAGGCCACTTGTTGCACTTGTGGAGATATGGCCTCCCATATTGATGACTTCCCAGCTAGCTCTTTAAACACAGGCCTGCAATTAAATTTTTTAATGCTTTAAAGTTTTGAGCTAAGATGTAGTGTCAAAGTTACACACATATTAGATTTATTTACCTTTCAAAATTCACCTTTTTGTGGTGAGGATAGAGTAGAACTCCATTCCATCTTCACCAGCAATCTGTGCAGCCACAAAGAACTTAGGAACAAGAAGCAAATGGCCAGCTTCAACTTGAGAATCCAACACAAGCTTGCCATTGAACCCCACAATCTCAATCTTCCCACTTCCTCTAACAACGTAAATCAATTGAATTGCTGGGTTGGTTAGATAGGCTGGTGCCTTCGTAGCATTAGGTTCAAGCTTCGCTCTCATCACACTCATCCCAACTTCTGCAACAAAAGGGAAATCTAGGTCAGTCAAAGTTTTGACCAACCCTCCATTTTTGACCCCACCATGGTCTGGTTCTGCAGAATCAATGTTGTACACCATCTGTTTGGTCTTTTCCATCTGGGGTTCTGGCATTTTGTGTTGGCCATTTTTAAACTTAAGGATCAAAGCTTCTTGCTGGCTCTTGGTGAGTTTGTGTGCTTCTTTGTTGTTCAAATTGTAAGCTTTGGTTATGACTTCAGAGGAAAAGCCTCCCATAATTCCTTGAGTTCCACTTGGAAAGAAGTATGTGAACTGGCCAGGAACAAAAGCCTGAGATGTTTCTCCCAGAAACACTACGACCAGTTCAGAATCTCCATTGTTGAACCACCATGAGATTGACCCCAGAGGTAGTGGGATTACAAGATGTCCATTACTGAAATAGTCAGTCAACTCCAAAGTCGTTCCTTCCCCCTTCTCTCTCCTCACTATGCGTTGCTCTCTGCCTGCAATTTCTATTTTGATCTCTCACACTCTCTCCTTCTCTCTTGCTTTGCCTTCAAAATAGATACTTATCTTGGCATGGAGCTCCTGGAGTTACTGAATAAGGAGCAAATCCTGCAGATTCTCTCTGATACCTTCTGCAACCATTTTGAAGCTCGCCTATATAAAAAAATTTCAAATCTCTGTAAAAGTAATCAAACTTGTCTTTTCCTCTATTTCTTTTAAAATGAATGGTTCTCATGGGTTTCGTTGTGTTCTGCCCATGAAGTTTTGTTTTCTTTATTATTGTTTCACTCTCTCTGTTATTCCTCAACTCCTCCGTTCTGGTTCAAGGAGTTAAGTTTATGGCTTTCTGTTTTTTGCCAATCTCGTTGGGTACTTCTGTATTTTGTGCATTGATATTATAAAAGCACTTGATTCTAAATTTTATTTAAAATAATCTCAGGCAAAAGCCTTCTCTGTTATATTTGATGTTGTTCATAAATTTAGTATTTCGCTTGAACCCCAGGAAACCACTATGAAGCCTCACATGCTGCTGCTGATGATGACTACTATGGATCTTCTAGACATACATCCTACGAGTTCAGGAATGGTAATGCATGCATTATTTGTTATCTTTTTTATTGATTGATGATTGATTAACTAGCTTTAACCATGTGAAAAATAATACAAAGATTCAAGTAAGCAAATCAATTGATTTTTTTTTTTTGGTGGGGGGTTTACACAGAAGTAGAACCGGTAATATGAGTTGAGCCCGCGGGCTCAACCCGCCAACCCGCCAACAAGTGGCGGGTTGGGTTGATAAAAATTAGGACCATTTTAAAATGGAAGTTTTGAGCCCATAACCACCAAGCCCAAACCCGCGGCGGGCTAACCCGCAGGGTTGGCGGGCCAACCCGCAGGGTTGGCGGGCCAACCCGTTTAACCATTTTTTTTTTTTTTTTGCAAATTTTTCCCCTTGCCTCTCAGTCTCTACACTCTCAACCCAGTCCATAGTTCAATAGTGAGCAGTCCATGTCCAACATGACAACACCAACACGATCCCATTTTCACATTTTGCTTGCGTGTCGCACTCCTCCCAGTCTCCCAGTTGCCCTCGACCAGTCCCAACTCCCAAGCCCCAAGATCTCCACTTTTTGTCTCTGCTTTGCGCCTTTGCCCTAGCTCACGAGTGATGATTGAGCACTTGATAGTTAATACTTGATAGTGATTTGTGTAGTGACTTGTGTTTGTAACTTTGTGGTAGTGTTAATTTGGATTTATGTTTTAATTTAAGATGTTTGTTAAATTATTAAGGACATAACATGTTCATTTAATCATATGTTTAATATTTTGATATATTTGAAACTTGAAACTTGAAACTTTGGATGGATTTCATGTTTAATTTATGATAATTTCTATTTGCATGTTTTATTTTAGGTATTTAGGTTTTATTAAAAAAAAGTAAAAAAAATTACAAATTTTGGCGGGTTGGCAGGCCTAACTCGCCAGCCCACCCTAGCGGGCTGGGTTGAAAAAATTCTAGCCCGCCAAAAAGTGGTCCTAAAAAGCCCAACCCGCCAAGCTTCAGGCCCGCCACTGGCCAACCCATAATCGGTGGGTTGGCCCATATTACCGGCTCTACACAGAAGTGAATGGGGAAATATTTTTCATTGCATGTTTATATAAATTAAATTTATTTAGCTTTTCTTCTGGATGCAGGAAAGTACTATGAAACCCCTCATGCTGAGGATGAGGATGATTATTATGTTTCCTCTACATGTGCATCCTACAAGTCTAGGAATGGTAATGCATTGCTGTTATATATCTTTCAACTGATAGACTAGCTTCAACCCTGTGCATTTGCATTGGGATCTAGAATTTTTAGGAAAAATAATACTCCTCCGGTCCTTAATATATAGTATCTAATTGTCAAGTTAATTTTGGTCCTAAATAAAAGACCTATTTCTCATATTTATTAATTTTTCCTAAATTATCACTATGATACTCCTTCAACCATAATCAAGTAAGTGAAGGAGGAAAGATATTAAGAAAGATGATTATGATGTTTTAGGAAAACATGTCACATTTCTTAATTTACCTAACTTTCTTAATATAATCAAATTATTTAAATAGATATTATATTAAGAACCGGAGGAGTACTAAGTTTAAAATAAAGAAATAAGTTGATAAAAAAATTGGCAGTTCCACAGAAATGAATAGTGAAGTATTTTTCATTCTATGTTTATATAATATATATATATATATAGCTTTTCTTTTAAATGCAGGAAAGTTTTATGAAAACCCTTATGCTGAGGATGAAGATGATTATCACGTTTCCTCTACTGATGCATCCTGCACGTCCAGGAATGGTAATGCATTACTGTTATCTTTCTATTGATAAACTAGCTTCAACTCTGTGCATTTATAATTTTTATTGAAAAAATAGATTTTAAAATTTATCAAAAAAACAAATTGACAGTTACTGAAATGAATAATGATTTTTTTTATTCTATGTTTATATATTTATTTAGTGCTTCTTTTGAATGCAGGGAAGCACTATGAAACGTCTTATGCTGATAATGATGACTATGCATATTCTAGAGATGCATACTTCCACTCCAGAAATGGTGATGCTTTGGTGTTTCACCATCGAAATCATAGAGAAGAAGAGGATAGTACAAGAAGCTATATCCAAAGGCATGAAACTCCCTGGTTGAGGAAGCATGATAATAGACTTGCTTTTGATTCCACACCTAAATATTTGAATCGCAAACGGCAATCTATAGTGCCATCTGATTTTGAGTTGCTACTAAGTGATGGAATCGGTGGAGTCTCATTGTTTGAATGCGGATTGTCTGAGGAACAAAAGGAGCATATCAGGTTTTCACTGGTTGGTAGAAAAAAGAACTTTGTTTACATTGAAAGAATTGGTGGGAGGGACACAAATGTTCTCCAAGGACTTGAACTTCATAGTCAAGTATTCAATGCTGAGGAGCAAAGGAATATTATCAAGTATGTCTATAAATTGCAAAAGATGGGTCAAAAAGGGCAATTTAAAGGTATATGGATTGAACTTCCGCCTTCCTATTCTTTTCCAGTTCTTTAATTCAGTGATTCTGCATTTAACTATTTCATATGCTCGGAATTGTACTTTTTCTGCATTTTTTCTGCATTTCTAGTCTTTGTTGTTTTTCCCCATTATGCTTATGGCTCCTTTTGGCACATCTTTAGAACTTACTTTATTTTTTTTAAAGAATTGTTAAAAAAATTTAAAACTGCACCATTTCATGTTTGCAAGATATCAAAATATCACTCACAATTTAATGCCTAATAAAACTAAAGGACACCTGATATGATCCAATAGGGGCCGAAGCCATTTGTGATCATTTGTTACAAAAGCAACAAGAGGCTTAGAAAGCATAGAACGTGATCCCCCCCCCCCCCCCCGGGCGAAGGTGAGATTTCAAAGGGCCCATATGCAAGCGAAAAAGATATAGCCCTTCTGTCCATCCATATGGCTTAACTTCCTTCTAACTCGATCCTCAATGTGGCTATAGGGGAACCCCCAAATATTTTCCCAACCGATTATCCAACTCAACATGTTATGTTGCAAACAGAAGTCAGTCTAATTAGTAAGGAGTTAGTTTATAATCTACAACATCGTGAGTTTAAATCTACTATTGATGTGAAAACCTTGTTGGTACGTGATCTGTAAACACCTCTGTAAGAGCTCTAGAAGCCTGGAGGCATATCCAAGCTCTAATGAATTCTCAAAACCTAACTCATCTAAACATTTGTGAAACCAAAAAAAAAAAAAATCAACCTGTGTGTTGGCCAAAAAAAAAAAATTGTAGTGTGTTTCCTTCTTTGCCCCACAATAGCTATTAGCTATAGGGGCATTTTTTTCATGTGCATTCAATAATATCCTTCTTATTATATTATGCATTAGTAATTTATATGATTGAAAGAGGGATCTAGAAAATTAGTAAGATTGGATTAGAATTCTTTATATTTAATTAAGGGTATTTTGAAAAGACTGAATAATTTTTAAAAAATCAACTAATTTTAATGTCGGTATGTTTTAAACAGCAGCATATCTGCATATGACCACCGATTCCCACCATTAAAAAAAGTCATTAGAAGTTGTCAATTTTTTTAGCAAAAACATACATAGCTATATAGAAGGGGACAATAATGGTGGGGGCCATACTTTTTTGAAGAAAATAATTAACACGTGGGCATATAATTCTTTTTATTTCACTAATATAAAAAATCTAATGATGGTTTATAATTTTTAATTCTTTTTTAATAATTAAAAGCCAATTTGAGTCCTTAATTAAGGATATGCTCCTAACAAATCATCTGTGATCGACAGTACAGTCTCCCATACAATAACTTGCTAAACATTTCTTCTCCTCCCCCACTTACTGCATCAATGTTCTACACATCCATTTTCTTTTAACTTAATCTTAACACTATTAGACTCGTCACACTTGTGTCTATGTGTGCATGCTCACTCTTCATGAAAGAGAGTCAAAGCACAATACAGACTTATTGTAGAAATAACATTACATACGTACGTACGTACATGTTCGTACGTAGGATGCAACATGAAGCACAAGAGATTAATTAGTTGGAGGAAGGAGATTTGAGGTTGGACGAGATCAAAGCTTCTCTAAAATTGCAGGATCCACATTGAGAGCCACTTGTTGCACTTGATGAGACATGGCCTCCCATATTGATGACTTCCCAGCTAACTCTTCAAACATAGGCCTGCAAGTGATCCATATATATATATATATATAAACATGAATAATACTACATCTTCTCTTTAATATAAGAATTAATTTGATATTCGATTTGTTTCTATATACAATACTCCAACTCACTTTGTCTTTCATATTTGTCTATTTTTTTCAAAATATTCATTATAGTGGTTGTACATGTTAAAGATTCTATTAGATGGTATTTCTAGCTAATATACATTATTAGAAAGGGCATTCTAAAAGAGATAATACTTATTTAATATAAATAACTAACTTAATCAAACTTTCTTAATCTACTCAAATTAGTCAATTAGCTTCTATATTAACGACTTGAAGTAGTAATAATGATTTGATTAAGACTTTAGACAAGAAGCTAGACAAGTTACATGCCTTTTTGCTGTGACGATGGAGTAGAAATCCATTCCAACTTCACCAGCAATCTGTGTAGAGACAAAGAACTTTGGCACAACTATCAGTTGACCGGCTTCAACCTTAGAATCCAACACAAGCTTCCCGTTGAACCCCACAATCTCAATCTTCCCACTTCCTCTAGCAACATAAATCAATTGAGTTGAAGGGATGGTTAGATAGAGTGGTGCCTTAGTGGCATTAGGTTCAAGCTTCACTTTGATCACACTCAGCCCAGCTTCTGCAACAAAAGGGAAAGCTAAGTCAGTCACAGTTGTGACTAATCCTCCATTATTTTTGATCCCATGGTCTGGTTTTGCAGAATCAATGCTGTACACCATCTGTTTGGTCTTGTCCATCTGGGGTTCTGGCATTTTTTGTTGGCCTTTCTGAAGCTTAAGGATCATAGATCCTTGTTGGCTCTTTGTGAGCTTGTTTGCTTCTTCGTTGGTCAAATTGTAAGCTTGGGTTATGACCTCAGTGGAAAAGCCTCCCATAATTCCTAGAGTTCCACTTAGAATGAAGTAGGTGAACTGGCCAGGAACATAAGCCTGAGATGTTTCACCCAAAAGCACAATGATTAGTTCAGAATCTCCGTTGTTGAACCACCATGAGAGTGCTCCTATAGGTACTGGGATTACATCTCCCTTCTTCAGCTTTAAAACGACCTCTTTTCCTGCATTTGGGAGCACCATCCCAACGTTGACAATAAGACTTAAGATTATGATGCAGAGACTATACAGTTAGGAAACAATCATGTATATTACAAAATATACACACACACACTACCGTTCTTAATATATATGTAAAAACTAATTTGACTAATTTAAATAGATTAAAAAAGTTTGTTAAGTTAATAAATGTGTTATCTTTTTGAAGATACCCTTAATAATCATGTGTGCTGCCTAAAATTATCATTTAATAGAATATTTAACACGTACAATTACTATAGAGACTATTTTAGGAAAATAAATAAACATAAGGGACAAAGTGGATTGAGTTCTTATATTTGAACTAAATTAATTGTCAAACTGATTCTAATATTAAAGACTGGATACTTATGAAAAACATTACTATATGGCTTGAGAAGATATTGAGCTACCTTCAAGAACACAGCCAATTTTAGAAGAATCTGTGTAGTGAGGAAGAGCAAAGCCTTGAGGTTGAAGAACAAGGAGACCAGCACCAACGTTGTTGCTGGCCAAAGCAGGAACTTGAGAAGTTGACCATAAGTAGTAAGATCCACCATCTCCCTCAAACATGGCTTCGGCCTTCTGGGGTGTCAAGTCCATCTCCATTTGCTTTCTTTTGTTTCCTTCAAGTACAACAGGGAAAAATCGCACATGTCAATGAAAATCTATAGAGACAATGAATATTCTTTCAAACTCTTAAAAGCTCTTAGCAGTTCATTTTCATCAGGAGGATAATGTCACAGAGAGAAAGAGAGAGGCACCTGTTGTTTTGGAGGAAAATGACAATGAGAGAGACAAGTGATGAGTTTTTATTACAGAGCCAAAGGTAAGTGTTTTATAGAGCCTTGCGTATGTATGGACTCAACCTCAAACAGAGAGTGGTCCGATCGAAATGATTAGCTTTTGTTTTCTTCTTCGCCTTGCTTTAATTGTGATGGTTTTTTTCTTTAAAAAAATGTGAAGTTATTAGCTTTTGTTTTCTTCTTCGCCTTGCTTTAATTATTATTATTATTCCTCCGGTCCTTAATATAGGATCCAATTGTTGAGTTGGTTTTGGTCCTAAATATAAGACCCATTTGTCATATTTATCAATCTTCTCTAAATTACCCTTATAGATACTCCCTCAACCATAATCAAGTAGAAGAGGGAGAGAGGGTATTAAAAAAGATGATTATGGTATTTTAAGAAAAATATGTCACATTTATTATAATTAACTAACTTACCTAACTTCCTTAATCTAATCAAATTAGTTAAATGGTTTTTATATTAAGGACTGGACGAGTATTTTTTAATTTGAAGTTATCAATACTCCTGTTCCTGGTCTGAAAAATTGGTACAATGCAAAACGCCAGAAAAAGCAGAAGACTGATTTTTGGGGTTTGAGCAGACCATTTGAAATGATTTGTATAGAATACGCATATAAAATTTAAGACTTGTTTTTTTTTTTTCGCCTGAAAAATTTAAGACTTGATTTGGTCCCCTCTCATTTCACCACAACACAAAACTAGATAAACGCTGTGTCCATCTCCATCATAACGGAAGGGGCTCTATATTGACTTTGTCGTTCTTCACCACCGGTCGGCTATTATTTGTACCATCATCCAGGCACGCAGCTGTAAATAATATTAATATTTCATATTTAATTCTCTTTAGAGTGTGTGTACGTGTAGAGCTTTCTACTGAAACTTTTCCATATTTTGGTCCATGCCCACTAACAGTTTCCAACTTTTTTATGTGTAATTAATGAATCAATAAATTACGGGTCTTGTTTGTTTTGAATTCTTCATCGAGTTGTGCACAAGTTTTCAAGATATAGGAACAACAACCACATATATATGTGGCCCCTAGTTATTCTGGTGAACCAATATTCTTGCCTTTCATCACTGACATACCTATCAAAACTAATTAACAAACGTGTTTTCAAAAAACTGTCCGTTAAACAGAGATCCAATTTCTACTTCCCATAGGCACCCATTGCTTTTCTCTTTCTCAAATTGTATACAAAATAAAGATGATCCCTTTAGTTAATCATCTACGTACATGTCATTTCTGACGTCAACCTGAGCTAACCATTTTTTAAGCTAAGTGATTAAATCCTCTTGCTCGACCACATCGGTGTTAGGTTCAGCTCATTTTAAGTGATTTTGTAAATACGTGGAACGAGTTTTATTTCATATAATACGAAAGTGATTTTTGAGAGTGGCCATTAAAGATGCAAATTAAACCAAAAAGGACCGCGCATATGAGAAGGAGAGACAAGTAATGGGTTTTTGTTAGAGAGCCAAAGTTGAGTGTTTTATACGCAGAGGCTATGCACATATATATAGAGAGACTTAGTTTTCTTGAAATATGTGTACCTAACTTGTTTTGGTTAAATTAATAAATATGATAAATACGTTTTATATTTAGAATCAAAATCAACTTAATAATTAGGTCTTATATTAAAAACCAGAGAAGTAGAAAAATTAGTGAGATTGGATTAGAATTCTTGATATTTAATTAAGGGTATTTTTGAAAAGATTGAATTTTTTTGAAAAAAATCAACTTCTTTGAAAATATT